TGAAGATGATACCGCATACATCAACTGAAGATGGTACACATACATTAACTGAAGATGACACAGCTCCCCCATTGGGCGCCATCAAGTAGAATGATCATGATTTGTCAAAGGTATTCACGGTATTTCTTGGCGGTCTTCAAGTATATTCGAGCTTGTGAAAAGTTTCAATAGGCACAGCAGCTGCAGCTGCAACTCRGCGGGCAAGCAAAGGACAATAGTAGACCAAGCATACATCAAGTGATTTGATTTATCAAGTCGTTACGCGCCTCCTTGTTCGTGTCTACGCGTACGGTGGACTGTGCTACAGCTTAGTGTTTATATTGTGTATGTATTTATATCAAAAGAGAATGAGATCCCGAAGCAGATTTGCACAATTGTCTAATATAAGTTTCTAGTTTGAAGACAGAGTCTGGTGATCCTATCATTGCAAGAAATTTGGATGCTCAAACTCGATAATAGTACTATTAATTATACAGCTTCTCATTATAGGTAACTGTCCAATTATTTTCTTAATTGGACAGGTCTTGCCGATATGGAATTAATTAGGCAGCTATATAATTAATAGGTCATGGGATTTCATGCCCTCCAATCAAGAAATAATTAGACTCGAAAAATTCCTCTGACTGCCAAATTGGACTCGGCCTACGGCCTCATTCAATTTTGGAAGTCCTCGGAATTTTTCTCGTCCAATTAGTTCTTAATTGGACAGCATGGAGTCCTATTACCTATACCAATAGTACTATTAGTATTAATAATAGTATTATCTTTTTTTGTGATTGGCGTTATTCCTTAATTAGGTTAATAAATTTCACTTAGCCCCAGTCTCTCTCTCAATTCCGTACAGGCCAATATTGAAAAGAATTTGTTTTTTTTAAAAACTCTTTTCCTCTGAAAGTTTACTTTTAGAAAAATTATCCTTATAAAAATACATCTAGTTGCCTTGCCTCTGACCTCTTTTTTACAAATACAGGAAGTTACCCCATGGGTATTATCGGGTTATTGGTATAGGGAGGATATCACACACACATCCGGTCCATGGAGTAGTTACATATTTAGTTTATTCTTGATCACTTTATGTATTTACAATAAGTTAAATATCATTGATAAATAATATCATGAAATGACTCAATACTAGCCATCTTATTTCACTATCCTTAATACGAATTGTCATCTTAACATGTTTATGATTATATTGGTTTGAAGATATGACTAAATAATCTATGTCAAGGGCTTAAAATAACGATAGAGTTGAGATCAATCTAAACATTCATAATCAGTGATTGTAATGGTGGAATCCAATGACTAATAACAAGTCCGTAGATTTGCAAAATAGGCTTACTGTCAAAATTTGCAGGATTTGTTATTTCTAAATATCCGTGGAAACATTGATATAATCCATTGGATAAGCTGAACAAATATCAAAGGTGCTTCATCGGTCAAGTTCTGCTGACCATGTCACTACTGGTTGTGCGCGCTAATTAACTTCATCTTTGTTCTCTCTCTAGATCTGTCAGGGCAGAAAAAGTATTCAGCCGTCACTTTTATCCATCTACACTTGAGTAGCGTCCATCTGGGCATTAATCTCCTGCAGTTCCAAGGACGTAGAGACCTGTTCACTTATCTCCTCCGATGATGAATTTTTATCGTTTTTCTTTTTCCTTTTTTTGTCTTTTTTGTCCTTTGTTTTTTTCAGTGGAATTTTCACGTACATATCTTCATCATCGATTTTCTTATCTTTCCTTATTGATGGTTTCTTAACGGGATTCAGGGTGTTGTTGGTTGAATTCGTCTTTTTGTTTTTGTTCTTTTTATCTTCAAATCTCACCTTCAATCGCTGCACTGGAGCACCATATTTATAGCTTTCACCGCGAGGTTGGTCAATTGCAGCTTTTCGCTTAAGCATCATATCCAGTGCAAGTGTGCATTTATTGCTTCGTCTTCTTTGTTTTCTCCTGAAAATGACAACCATAAGGACAGGGATTCTCTTATTATGATTTTCTACTAAAATTTATATTAAATACTGATTTTTTTAGAAGATCAATTTAGATTTTAGAATATGAAAGGAGATACCTAGAGCTCATGTCGGTGTGAGAGGGGGTGGCAGACGAAATGCGTACCTTAATAAAATGACGACTAAAAGCACAACAGACACCACGATGACAGTAGGAACAACTAGAGCAGGAATGACTGCTTTCAGATTGACTCCTCTTTGTTTCTTGCTTAATTTTGGATTGGATTGGACTATCGTAGTTGCTGAAATTAATGGATTAAACTTGATTTATTTATCACATGCTTGACTAAAATGTTGATCAGAAAAAAAGAGAGAATGAAAAAGATGTTTTACTTCAAAGTGGGACCAGAATTAGAATACAATATAAACTAGAGACATTCTTAAGAAACTTACAGCAGAATCCACATGACATTGGGCACAATCTAAACATCGTTGGCCGATCATTATCACATTCGCCTTTTTCTTTCCATTGTTCGCACTGATCAACTCCATTATCCGGGATATCTACACATTCTAAAAAGATATAGAAGAAAATTAACTCTTATTCAAAAATGTTTAGAAGATGTCATATTTATACCTCTGCATTGGTTGATGGTGCGCGCACTTTGAAGGCCAAGAGTTGATAGTCCTTCTTTACACTTCATGCAATCAACTTGTCCTTCTTTGTCTTGGTAAGAGTCGACAGGACACATTTCGCAGTTATCTTGACTAACATTATGATAATAACCAACTGGGCAGTTCACTGAAAACAGAACGAAAGTCACTTGTAAACACAAAGGTTTATCAATGTTTTACTGAAATTCATAAAAACGATCGATGCTAGAATAGCTACATACAAACATCTTTTCTTGCAATAGGAGAGGATACCATGATCGTGTTCATATCGATTTTTTCTTTGAGTCGAACATTTTATCAGAAGAGACTAAGGGAGCTAGGGAATAGTCACGTTCACAGTTCCCTGCGTCAACTTGAAAGGTATCCTTACCTTTGCATCGAAGCGACAGTGATGAGCTAGCTTGCAATGATAGAGACCTTTTATAAACACCTTGGATCACATGTCCACGGTGTCTATGTTAACGATTAAGACAAGTCTTCCAGTGTCTATAACAATAAAAAAGCTTACCTTTTCCACAACTAGAAAAAAAACTTGTCCTTATCGTTAACATTAAATCCTCACTGGGAGCAAAATACTTGTAAAGATTTATAGTTGACATCCAGAGGAGGGTGGACACTCGTCACAAGCTAAATTCATCCAATCATAAGCCTTATATAAATTGCGGCTTATCATGGCACAACAATTTCTAATGTTTTGAACGCTATGAACGCTTGGTATGTTTTGAATTTTATTGCCGGATGGAAAATTAGAATTTTTTACCTTACAGACCATTTTTACCCAATTCTACGATTTTTATTTGTTATGAGGAAACGTTTATTAGTTGTGTAAGAGATATTTTCAACGATATTTTAACGTCTTTCTAAGGCACATGGAATTAACTCGCCGGTGGACAGTACAACACTTACAAGTATACGTCTGTAATAAAAAAAAATTATACTTGCAGTTTTTATTTAGAGATTACTATCTAAATATAAAGAAGACATATCGGACAAGCATTTAAAGGAATTGGTCCCCATCGGACCCTCAATAGTTTCGAAGATATAGAGCAATGAAAATCGAGTATTCTATGTATAAGTGCACAGTGCAGGCGAGGGGCGACAGTTGTCGACACACGTGTCTCTTGAAGAGTAAGACTGGTCTTGCACTTCCGCTGAACACTTTCTCTTTCTTTATTTTGCCGTGTGAGTTTTCTTTGTTTTGCCGTGAGTTTTCTTGTTTTGCCGTGACATGTTGTACATGTCTCTATCATTGCAAGCTCACCGTTCGTCTTGCTTCTATGCAAAGGCACAGCTTCCTTTCAAGATGGGGCAGGGAAATATGAAGGGGATTATTGGAAGTGAGTGATTTTACTTACCGCATTTTTCATTCCAGTAAACTTGTCCTTCACCACATATCCCTTTGATGTTATCGATGACAAGACCTTGTTCTGTATCCAGTCGTAAATGATAGCTGCCAATAATCATGGACAAACTACTAACATTTATACCGTGTTTTATGAGAGCCTTAATCTCATTTCGAGTTGCATTTATATCTTCAGTTGATGCCTCTTTCGTTAAATAAACGCGGATGCCAAAATTTACAGTCAAATCATGTTTAAATGTTTCTCTTTTGGCTCTTTTTGAGTTACACAATATCTTAATACTGGCAACCATACAACTGCCTCTCTTCACACAAGCACTCAGAGATGATGTCATATACTTCTTCAGGAGTTGAGAGATCTTATTTTCGATGCCTTGGAGAATAGCTGGTTCAAGACATTTTTCTGTTTTATAACTAAGGTGGCCCATAATAGACAGTTCGGTAAATCCAACGATTCCTACAAACAAAAATCAAAACCTCTTCAACTGCGTGCTATAAAAAAGTTTCGTAGTATACGATGTTTTAATGTAATTTTGGTTTGAAGTTCATTGATGATTCATGCTCGAGCCCTATTAAACCCCATAAATTCTTCTGTCCATTGTGGTCTCTTGATATATTCTTTATGTATAGACTACTAATAAGGATAATATCTTTATATAAAGAATACTAATGAGAACGCCTTTATCAGAGTTAAAGGTGCATCCATGTTTAAATGAATATACCTGATGAAATAAATCATTCATGGTTGATCGGTACTCACTTGAACAATCAGGAAAACGAGCAACTCCATCTGCGAATGACCTGAGGTTTACCCATCGCCGTTCAGCAGGAGCACAGAAATAATGCTGTTGGAGTTCCTGGGTAAACGAGTATCCATTTTTACACCCAATGCTGCAATAGATGCCGCCATTCCTCCAGAATTGACAGGACTTGAAGCCGTTGAGTGGCATGTGTATTTTACATTTGTCAGCTTGGTAAAAAAAAGCAGAATGAGTAAGAGTACGTGATATGCTAAAGACGGCCGTTGTATTTTAGTATACTTACAATATACTAAAACGTTGATTTTACAATCTGCCGTATTTTCAGCTGCGTCATAAGCTCGAACAGTCACTTGGTGGTTTCCCCAGGCCACGTTACTACCATTACTAAAGTCTACTTTAGTCACACCAACATTATCAGCAAATTTAATGCCAGGGTAAAAAACGCGACTGATTTTGTTTCTTTTCATGAAGGTAAAGTTCTTCTGGCATTCGATCACTTTTGGAGCTTCTTCGTCTGTTATTAAAAAAAATAATTTGTTTGAATGTTTAATGATGTCAATAAATCAATACATCAATCTTTTTACGTTGTTGTCTGGCACGCACATTTATACAGTGTTCTTCGTTCCTTATTTCAACTGTTGGAATAGCACGATGAACACATGCCGACTGTCAAATTTAATTTTTCATTAATCTTTTTAAAGCCGAACTGTTTGTGCTATCAGATTTCCATACATGTAAACAGAAGTGGGTGAAAAACACGCAGTGAGAGAAATAAGTAAGATACACACCTCGTACTTCAACAGAAAAGCTGCACGATCTTCTGAGTCCACTGTTATCTATTGCCGTATATACCACATAGGTCTTGCCAGCAGGGAACCTATGGGGTGGGCGTATACCGCTTGGATTTACTACAAGTCTTGGCTTCATATCTACATTATCCTCAGGGACTGGAACTTTCCAATGGACTAACGATGTTGGCAGCCCTGGATCCGTCTTTGTCACCATGTTATCTGGACAGTTCTTTAAAAATGGGGGAAGGTTATCTGGGAGGAAAAAAGATTGATTGATTTCAATGAAGCTTGGTGTTTTTGGTAGTCGCAATGCTTCAGTTTTTGTACACTACCTTTACAAGATGCGGGAACAATACTCATAGTCCACAATCCGTTTGATTGGCAGGTAGTTGATTCAGGGCCTTCTTGGATAAAGCCATAGGATGTGTTACAGCGATATTGACACGTGACGCCGTACTGGACTGGTTTAAACCCGTCATTGCAAACATCCAAATCGAAGAATCCATATTTAGGCTTAAGAGGTGGGAAGCACGTGATAACTAGTACAAGAAAATTTACTCAATAAATAAGAGAAAGAAATGGAGGAAAAACAAATGATCTTGTTGTACCTTTACAGCTGGGTAACCTCGCTGTCCATGAACCATTGTCTAGACAACGCATAATTGGCTCTCCCACAAGTTTATACCCTTTGTCACATGACACATTACAAACACCTCCTGGAATGTTTCTACAGCCGAGACCAACCTTTCCATTGAGAAGTTGTGTGATTTTCGAACATCTGTTAACTAAAATAATTGAAACAGTAAAACAAAGCACGTCTCTTAGTTCAAATATGACATCAGAATAATCTTTAAGGATAGCAAGTACGTACATGACCTTCACAATCAAATGCAGTCAATGCCGGTTTTTATATATCTGACAACAACTGTCAAAATGTCTGCCAAAGCTACATTCAAATTTCATCAAATAACACTTCAATGTCAACAACTCGTCGTAATTGTATTCAACACAAACCGTTTAAAAATTCAAACTGTTTTAAAATGTTTAAATCAAACTTATAAACTCAATCGTCAAACATTTAATGAAATACCTCCGACACAAGTAGTAGGATCTTCATCTTCAAGCGCAACACCATCTGGACATGCGCATTTGCGTCCTGGGGGAGCTGGTAAAGGTAGACAGAGATTACTGCAGTCTCCATTTCGAACGCTACACTGGTTGGTGTCTGAAATGACGATATTATTTGTTATGATTTTAATATCCTGAGTCATTTCACCAATACTGACCGTCGGGTGAAACTGAATGGGTGGATGGGTGTATTTCAAAACATATTGCACTCATACAGCCATGCAATCAAAGATATTTTTTAGTTAACACGCGCATGCCGTGGGAGACTGAACCATATCAACTGAGACATTCTATATTACAGCATATTCGTTGCTACATGTATTATAATCGATATCATTCTTTGCATGCATTTCAATATTCTCTCATGAGTTATAGATCATGATATGTTGCTATCTCACGCGAGTACGAGTTGTCATGAATGACAATGAGGCTTGCAGAATTGGTGACACATAAAGCAAAACTTGGTTTGAACGATTCTTGCAAACATTTTGCTGCAGTTTGACTTACAATTACTTTGTGTTGCAAACTGTTTCCATGTATCTGAAGAAACGAAACGTCAATACAATTCAGTAGACAAAAGTAAAACTAATAATAATAATAACGAGATATAACTGAATCAAAGCAATACACGGGGCCAGTTTCATAAATGAAAACTAATCCTGGGTGACTTGATTAAAACACGCGTTAATTTTCGTGACGAAACTTATGCAATGACAAGAATGTTGATATAATACATGTAGCACGTATGCGTGTAAGAATCTCGGTTGTCGTGGTAACGAAAGGATTGCATACTGACAGTTTGAACTGGGTGGTCAAGAATTATGAATATTATTGCCATCACGTGATGGCAGCAATGACAGGAGACAGGAACAATTTAATCTTGTCTAATCTGATTGATGACAGTTTGAACTGGGTGATCAAGAATTACTGAATAGTATTGAGGTTGAGCACCATCACGTGATGGCAGCCATGACAGGAGACAGGAACATTTGAATCTTGTCTAATCTGATTTGCACAAGAAAGATTTAAGTTTCCCAGGGGAGAAAGACTCTATTGTTATGCTGCCCCCTGTCATGGCTGCCATCACGTGAAGGTACAAAGCCTCTATCGACTGGTGGTAAAGAGAGTACAATGATGATAATTGCAATTCATAAAACACCTACCGATATCTATATCCATTGGACCAACTACTCTAACATCGACTGGTCGAGAGAGTCCAGTAATTATGGCTTTAGGAGTAGTACCAATAGCTATCTCTAGCTGATATACTGACCGTGTTAGTACGTCAGCCCAATAAAGCTTTCCCCTATTAAACGCCAATCCAAAAGGTGCTCTTTTGGCTCGTTCTTGTAATGTATCATAAACAATAAGTCTGTTTTGTCCACTCAGTGAAATACACTCAATTTTACCTGCCCCTCCATCTACCCAGTACAGCTTTCTGAACTTAAAATCTATAGCCAAGCCTGTAACTCTTTTTATGTTGGTTCCTATAAGGATCTTTCTATTGCTGCCATCCATGTGAGAGGTTTCTATTTTTGCTGTAGAACTATAAACTGTCCAGTACATATTCCTGTAAAACATACCAATGAAACCTTGTCATATGCGCTAGAGAAATAGACATTCTATTTGTTAGACTATGATGATCATGTAGTGACAAGGGAAGGAAGAGAGATATAATGCCTAATAGACGATGAGGATCATGTAGTGACAAGGGAAGGGAGAGAGAGATATAATGTCTAATAGACTATGATGATCATGTAGTGACAAGGGAAGGGAAAGAGATATAATGTCTTATAGAATATGATGATCATGCAGTGACAAGGGAAGGGAAAGAGATATAATGTCTAATAGACTATGATGATCATGTAGTGACAAGGGAAGGGAGACAGATATAATGTCTAATAGACTATAATGATCATGCAGTGACAAGGGGAGGGAGAGAGATATAATGTCTACTAGACTATGATGATCATGTAGTGACAAGGGAAAGGAGAGAGATATAATGTCTAATAGACTATGATGATCATGCAGTGACAAGGGAAGGGGGAGAGATATAATGTGTAATAGACTATGATTATCATGCAATGACAAGGAAAGGGAGAGAGATATAAAGTCTAATAAAGTATTCATATCTACCCTTCAATAGGATCAACAACAATTGATCCAGGCGTTTTTAAGGACCAACTAATCAACAACTTTCTGTTAGAACCATCAAGTTTCGATACTTCAATCTTCTTGTTCACAGAGTCAGTCCAGTAGACGTTTTCTGATATATAATCAACATCGATACCGTCCGGGTACTCCAGTCCGCTTTTAACAATAATTTCACTAAAAAGTCCATCTTTCGATCCCCGCATCACAGCTCTCTGTTCAACATCAGTCCAGTAAAGAAGCTGATCGCTAGGATTGTAAGTAATAGAGGCTGGTGTGGCCTTCGTTGCTCGATGCATCGTAGATTTTGATACTTGAGAGTCGTAGATTGAATCGCATGATAAGCCACTGGTATCTAGCGCTACTTCAAATATATCTTGATAATCCATATCAGCGATAAGAAGGGTTCTTTTGCTTTCTCCATTAGTCCGTCGAGAACCTGGTAAAACGATGATAGCATTATCATATGCAACTCTAGTTAGACTCAAATTAACATATCTAAATTACATTGCTTTCTATCCTTTGGATTTCTTCCAAATTTACTCGTTACATATGATTTTCCCAAAAAAATCTTTTCGGGGTTAAAAACAAGAGGGGTTATCTTACCATAGTCACATGACTTTTTATTGGTCATAAGAATCTTTCCTTCTGCACATGCGCACTTGAAGACATTAGCAGCACTGTACAGGCACAGATCACTACATCCACTATTGTTTGACGAGCACGGGGTGAAAACTAGTAAAGATCATATATTACATGTCGTTATGTATCAATCAAATAAATGATTAATGATAATATTGATATCAGTAATGGTTCGAATCGCAAAGGAGTGAAGGGTGGATTCAATCCTTAGACCGCCATCACATATAACAGTAAATGTAAATGATGTTTTTCCTTACCATTTGTTAACGATGTCGTATTAAAATAGCGAATGGTGGTTGGTTTCTTCATTCCTGTTACCATGGTCGCATTGAAATTATTATGTATATTAATCTTGTAGACGTTCCCTCTATGTTGGTCAGTTAAGAACGCATAGGGCATATCAAGTGTAAACCCTTGTGGATACACTCCGTGCTCGAAGTAAAACACTTCACGATTGGCGCCGTTAAAGTATACACTTTCTACAACGCCTCTCGTCGCGTCAAGCCAATAGATACGCCTTAAATGATGGTCCAAGGTCAGACTTGTAGGACAGACTATTCCTCTATTGACGACAATCATGCGGGACGTACCATCCATCTGTAGAACTTCTATTTTTGGTAATATCCCACATGCACTCACAAACATCTTCCTGGTGACAAAAACAACCAGATAGAAATATGATCACATACCATAATAATCTAGCCTTAATTATAAGATTAATTAATTCTATAAACAGTTTACACACCCTTGTTCAAGGTTAAGCACAATCCCTGTTACATTTGTTATCTGCACCAAAACTTTCCTCATGGAGCCGTCAGGGCGACTGACTTCAATTCTTCCCTTTTCTGAATCTGTCCAATAAATGTTATTATTGATCCAGTCCACAGCAATCCCCAGAGGTTTCTCGACATTACATCGATGAAGAAACTTAAATTCCTCATTTGCTAGGTTGTAGGAATTGACGGTTCCCGTATTCAGGTCCGTCCAGAACAGGGTATCACGAATAGGATCATAGTCGAAATCTGATGGAGTACTAGTTGCTGGTAAGACAGAAACTGGAGTCCACGAAGAATCTGATCCATCAAGCGGCAAAATATTAAGGCTTGGAGCACTTGCATCAGTTATAAGAAGAAACTCTCGAGCTGTTATGGAAAATAATAGGTTCAAAATTATAGTCTGTCCATATGATCATGGCTCAAACGATGCTATAGAATTACACTGTACAATCCAAGCTATAGATTACAAATTGAGTGATGTACGGGCCCTGGTACTGTGCAATAAATAGATGAACAATTGATTGGGGTACGGGTCTGGTACTGTGCAATAAATAGATGAACAATTGATTGGGGTACGGGTCTGGTACTGTGCAATCCCTATAGATGAACAATTGATTGCAGTATACTTCGATCAGTAGGTAGGGAGTAGTCGAAGGCCTACAGTTCATTGTGTATATGAACCATGTAATGAATGACTATAAACAAAAACTGTCTGCCATATTGGAAATATTGGGAGCCGGTCTATCTTATGTAGGAGACCATTAGCACTCTTTGTGATTGTCAATGCTATATATTCGTTTGGCACGGTCAGTGTATGTATTAACCATTATACATAACTATTAGTCAATATAGTAAACAGCATTAATCGGTACCTCTTTTGCATGTCTTACGATCAGAGTGTAGCTTATATCCTGAGGGACAAGCACACGTGTATCCATTATGTCGAATGAGACACATATGACTGCAGCCTGCGTTTATATTGTCGCATAACGTTGCCACTGATGTAAAAAAAGAAGACATTACTAAGGCTAGCTATAACTTATAGTCAACAAAATGTGCACTGATTTAGCCTACCTTTCGTATATGATGCTGGATCGTACACAAAAACCCCATATGGTCGACTTAAGTGTTTTACATACGGTACAGATACCCCAGTAGTAGTATTGAGCTTTTGGACACTCTGACTTCTCACATCAGACCAATACACATAACCATCAGAGAATGCTAAGCTGAAAGGATGAATGTTTTGACTTTGAAATTCAATTCGTCGATTGGCTCCAAAGAGGTCACATGATTCTATTTTATCGTGAAAGGCATCTGCCCAGTAGATTCTACTGCCGTGGTAATCAATGGTTAACCCATTAGGCCAATGAAGACCATCTTCAACTAGAGTAAATCGACTCGTTCCATCCATGTTGGCTTTTTCTATCTTTGGTTTTCTTCCCCAGTCAGTCCAATACATGTGTCTGCAAACAAGACACCAAAATGAATTGGATATACTTGCGGCAATGTTTTTGTGGGTAAACGCCCATATTTTCTTTATTGCATTAATCTAACTTTTTCATGAGTAACTTAAAGATGCAAGCGATCAACATTCTTACCCATTAGGAGGATCAAGAACAAGACCACGCGGCTTCTCTAGTCCTTGCATAATCACAGGAGTCTGCATTCTCGTGTTTAGTTGCGCGGCCTCGATCCTACGCGTTCCTGCGTCCGTCCAGTACAGATGTCTTCCCAACCAATCAATTGCTAGACTTTCTGGTCTGACAGAATAGCTTGCAAAAACCTCTTCTCCGCTCATATTGAGAAACACTCGTCGAATATTTCTTTGGGATCCATCAATCCAATACAGTCTTTGATCAAATGGTTCATAGGTGATGTCCGTTGTTTCATTGACCGACACAATCATCCTATTGTGGTTAGGAAGATGAGTGTAAATCTTGTATACTGCTGGGGCATCAGCATCTGTTACTAACATGAAAGAGCTTGGTACTGAACCAAAAGAAAGACAGACAAACAAAGAGTGAGCTCAAAGAAACTATGAGATGAATGATAAATATAGATAAGTAGATAGTATGGATAAATCTTTGTATTTGTAAAAGATTATATTTATACTTAATCTTTCTGTAAGTAATTGACAATTCATTTGCAAAAATTAAGCATATAAATTTAGCCAATCAAATAAAATTGCTCTCAGATTGGAATGAATAGTTTGCCGAATCGGCTGATATACTGCGGGTGTCGACTGGGTTGTTTTGGATAAAGGTGCATGTGCCATTAAAGATAGTGAAAAAGTGCTGTTAGTATCTGCCAAGTATTCCTTTGAAATTCTAGATGCTTTAATTTGATTAATTAATTATTGATCTTAGAAGTTTTTATGGAGTTATTTGAGATATCGAGTTTATGGGTTTATAGTTAAGCAACTGTTTTCAGTCTTTTAGCTTGCCTACTTTATATTTATAGAAATGTCGCTCAGTTACATTTCAGTATCCAGTGTGTATCCAGGCAAACAAGTATGATGGCCATTGTGTCGCACACTAACGGATTATCTGGTGTACTACGGTATATGTCAAATTGTTTTTATGTGTTTATTAGTTATTTATCAGTTATGCATGCAATTGTAACAAAAACAATCAAAGTGAGTTTAAAATCCATGCATAAAAGCATGATAAGCCTTATTCATTTCTTGTCCCAACCTTCATCAGTACATGTTTTGTCATCACTGGTCAGCTGTCGTCCTGTTGGGCATGCGCAACGGTGTCCTTTTGAGCTGGAAAAGCATAGATAGCTACAGCCATCGTTATTGTTCGTGCAATAGTTGATGCCTGGGGTGTAAAGTCTAAGAGTTATAAAGTACTTAAAACAGGATACGGGAAAAATACGTGTTATGGTCCACCTTTTCTAGTCGTGGTGGTGTCATTTAGTTTATTATTTGAGGAGGGTTACTAAATCAGGATTTAAAATGGAATTTCATTTGTTATACATCAATTAAAGATTCACTGTTGTTGTAATGCTATCGAACAGGAATGATTGGTTTAAGCAATATATTTGAACTATATAAGGTACTCCGTATAAAACATTAAAGCTCACGTGTAGTCGGTTGGGAAGAACAAGTCTACAATGCACTGCAAGCCTAATTACATATGATTACGTCATATACTATTACAGTAATTGTAGTAACAATTTCGTAGTAAGAATTTTAAAAAGCGTTAAAATTAATAATTAAAATTAATAAATAAGCTTCTTGCTGGCAAATTATAGTCTGTATACGTCTGCATTTTATCGTTCATAACATGATTAAACTATAATATTATTTATAAGTGCTCTTCATTAGTATCCTCTTTCATTAGCGACAGGGTGGCAGAATGGCTGAGAATTTTAATGTGATCAGTTTAAGAGCAGCTTAACAGGATGAATATTTTCAAAGGCGTTTGTCAGTCTTATCATACCTGGAAGTTGTCGGGACGAATCGTAGACCGTCACACCCACGGGCTCTAAACCCACATTATAAATATTTCCTTCCAGTTTCTTGGTCTTTTTATTAATTTTGTGAATTCCCTTTGACATCCAGTCCGTCCAGTAAATAGTATCTCCCAGTATTGAAACACCAAAAGGTTCTAAGACGTTGGGTTCTTCTTGTACATAGATAGTGTCTCTGGATTTACCGTCAAGGTCAGCGGTTTGCAGCCAGCCAAATTTACCATCAGCCCAATAGATTTGATTAGTTGAGTAATCTATAGTTATTTCATTAGGATATATTATGTTGACAGTTATTAAGGCTATTCTTGATTGTCCATCAAGGGACGCTCTTTCTATCTTTGGATTGGCTCCCCAGTCAGTCCAGAACATCATACTGAAAGAACATAGAATACATTCGAGGTCTGACTCATAGTAATAAAGAGTACAACAAATACTTACTTTGCCTGTGGATAGACTGCTATTCCCCTGGGTTGGTCCAAACCACTGTCGATAATAGTTTGTCTATTACTCCCGTCAAGGTTTGCTACTTGGATGAAGTCGTAAGTTGTATCTGTCCAATATAATCTTCTTGTCACCCATTCAACAGCTATCCCGTCACATATACCGATGTTAGACGTTATGACGTCAGTTATCTTACTTCCATCGATATTCGCACGTTTTATGGTTTTCTCTTTAACGTCAGTCCAATAAACGTGCCCCTCTGCAACATCCACGTCTAAGGCAATGGCATGCATTAGATTGTATATAACAGGAATAGGAAGTGCTGAGTTCGGTTCAAGTCTATTGATATGTGTTTTATTGGAAAACAGTACAAACGTTTGGCCACTTGCTACGGCATTATGTAAAGCTGTGGAAGAAACATTAAATAATAATTACCAATGGATGTTGTATAACATATGTTATCAGTGAAGTACTGAGCTTCTTTCTTGACCTATAGTTTATTAATATTGACTCCATCAACACCGTGATAATGATACTCAATGTCATAAAAGACCTACATGAGTCGTGTCAATCGATTAAAGGCTGTGAGCATCAAGAACGTTTTTATCATCCATTATGGCAGACGAACGCCAGGCTGTTTTTCATCAGTAATAACCTCAGTATGCATGACATCTCTGATCGCCGTTTGGTGTGCAGTAGGTAATAACTGGCTTAACAAAGCCTGTTCCTTTATAATCAAATCGATTTGAAAAACTCAAATGATCGAAACGTATCGTTAAAGCTGCCATACGGCTGTAATTTAAGTGACAAGAACTGACAACATGAGTATTCAGAATGTCGTCTAAAAACACTGAATATCTACTCGATTCAGAATCCTAGAAAAAAGCCACTGAAATAAAACCGCAAAATTATCTATAATTAAGTTAAGTAAAACTACAAAAAACGACTGGTCTATTCATAAATAAATAACATCAAAAACTTAAGTTTATTCCCTAGCACAGTGCATGCTGGCTATCTTACTCTCTTACTGAATCATTTGGAAACACAGTTTTTCAACTGAGTTCAGGTCCAGCCGCCGTGAGTAAGTTAAAAGGAAAAATGGCTTGCATCCGTCGATCACTCCGGAGTTTTATTCGCTAAGAGAGACAGCTGTTTTCCCAAAAACATTAAAGGAAGTTTTGATAAAGGACAGTGATATATATCAAGAATATTGAAAGCATTGTTTAAACCATATTCGACGATAGTGCTTTAGTCAAACCTCGACAAAACTGGTGTCATGTAGATAATAAATGTACAAGTTGAAATCGTTAATGTACAGTGCAGGTGCACATGCATCTACTGGCGGTATCTATTGTTTTCTTTACAATTCAGGACAATCTTATTAATAATTTGTATCTAATGTTTACTATATAGGCTACCAACACTCTTTAATGTGTTTTTCTTGTACTAAACAACCTTAGGGAACTCTTTTCGCCAGATACTGCGTAAGTGACTATTAATTCTCGGTACAAATGAATAAGAGAAAATCATGTTCTTCACACCGACATTCGCTTTTTTCGAAGTAAAAAAATCATCGATTCGGTTTCAGTGCGACATCATCATCAATGAATCGGCATATTGCGAAAATAGCGGTATGATATTTCAGCCGTATTCTTACAACATCAATTAATCTATCGGCAGTCTTGCATATACTCACCAAGGTAAAGGAACATCAACATAGCGGCGGTAATTCTTGCTTTGATGCCCTTCATCCCTGAAAAACGTCAAAACCCGCAATAAAAATCCCCGTAACTTCTACAGAACAAGTGGAAAAGGTAACGCTCGGTGTTAAACAGCGAATAAGCCCTTGGATTGTAAGCATACGGTAGGCCAACTTGCTCAAGGTAAATACTATTCGTAGACAGCCAACCCGCTTACATCATATAATCGTATGTTCGAGACAGATATCTGGAGTGCTGGTCACTTCTGTTCCAAGTATTTTCTGGCGTGACAAAACTTGAAGTCATTGTTTTGTACACCGTTGGCCGCGATGGCGGGCTTTTTCTAGTTTGAGTAACCACTTGTAATTAGTGTAGCCTCTCGGACCCTGCTTATCCTATAAACATATTGCATATCATGTTATATAATGGAACATCCAAAACAAACGAAACAATAATCCGAACCAAAGGTGTAAAGGATATTATTATCTGACAATACTGACAAGTCAGGAATTCTAAAAAGACCTTTAAACCATCAAAAGCTGGCCTAATTAAGTGCAAATATCGGCCCTCTTTACCCTGTATTGGACAAACAAACAATTAAGCTTATTATAACATAACCTTCCAACCCGCCGCTTGATTTTGGATTGATTTTATACGTCTTACATCCATTTATGATTTAATACAAAAGCGTCTATATTTAGCGACACAATCACTTTGAAGGTCCATTTTCATTGTATATGACAGTTTTTTGCCAATTTAACGAAGGGACAAAACCACAGACTAAATCAGAAGGCAGTTGAATACAGTCTTCGTGTCACTAACCTTAGCTGCACTGAGTGTTGTGTGTTTTCGATCAGTTCCTGATAGCCCAATGATGTCTTTTATTTCTAGCTCTACTCTAAGCCACCACACTTTTATCAAGGTGAATATACTGTTTATTAAAGCAGGAAATTATTCTAATAGTCTAAGCATCATACAAATAAGTGTCATGTGATACAAAGCCATTCAGTCACCATCACCTTATCAATAAGAAATTGCTATTTGTCCCCTCGTAACATAGTACTAGAACTGTAATAGTACAAATCATATAATTGGAAGCTTATTCTAAAATATTTCCAGATGTGAACGTCTAGAAAGTAGCCTCCATAATCACTTCAGAATGAACTTCACTGAAATCAGTACAGCATGAGTGTCACATTCACTGTGGATGAGCTGATCACTCACTATCTTGAAGCACATTGTAACACCACTCTAAAGGACCAGGGGCATAGCGAATTCTTGATTATGGGGAGGGAGGGGCAATTTACCTTTTCCCCGTCAAATTCACAGAAATCCCGCATGAATTATTTACATTTTGGTGCCGAAAGCAACATTAGGGGGTGCCTCCTTCCTTACGCTAGTGCCAAGGTGTCGACCCCTTAATAAAGATTATCCTCACGTGACTGATCAGACACACATTAAATGACTATATGTACTGAACTCACTTCAAAACTGTACTTCACGTATAACAAATCGTACTTCGTTCTACTAGTTCAGGAAAATGTTCGTAAAAAACGCAATAGATGTTGGCCTTTTCCTCGTGTATCAAAACGACCATAGTCGCCCCCCCCCCCCCCCCTTAGCTAATTCAAAAAAAGAACATTTCTTGATTCATTACGATTCAAGTTATTTTCCCCTAATATGTAATTATGCATACATGTACGTGTATCCCCAACCTCAAAGGTGGTCATTGCTAGGGTTTCTCTATATCATGAGTTAATTGTTGTTCTCATTCCAGTCCAATGCAAAAGCAGATCAGCTTGACCAAAACAATATAATATTCTTCAGTTGGGATGGTCTTACTTTCATGCCAAGACTCCAAGGAGTTGAAGTCAGTCGATAGAAAAAAATGCCATCGCTAAGCCCATAATTACAATGCAGGAGGTCATGGGCACCATGCATCACACTCGGGACACAACACATTTTAGTACATTTTAAACTATGCGTCTACTTGAATCCTTCCTACTTTCTACTTGGTCATGAGATATATTTTCAATGCTCTCCTCACAAATTAAACAACTTAAAAGGGGAAAAAGGGGGGACTTGACAGTATTGTGTCGTACTAAGCAGCTTGGACTGGCTGACTTGCACCCTGCCAGACCTGAAGGTTATTGATGATGTACTTTACCGTTAGATGTTTGTGGATCAGGCCTGCATTAAGCTGCCAGTCAAATTGAGATTTCTACCCACTTAGACTTCACTGGAGACTAAATCATTCAGTGAGGCATGCCATACTAGTATCGGCTACAATATTATCAGAATAATCAAGCCATGGTTTTTGGGGAAAACTTCAATAGAAAAAAATAGAACACAGTCATCGTTTGATTGAGAAAATTCAATTATGTAGGGTTTAATTCCCTAAAAACCACAAAGATGATAAACCAACCTAAGTGGTTTTAAGTTTCGATCATTTAAGTCTTAGCTGAACGGCTAAAAGAATTATGAAAGTATCGAATGATCTTTCATTAGAACTTATACTTTTCCTTCACTGAATAAAACGGTTTCATAAACTACAGACCATTTTCATGTTTTATTCATTCAACTTCTAATCCTTTCATGAACCGCTGACCGCAACCAGTGCGCAACTGCACGTCGACTGTTGCTGTCTGTCTGACTGTCTGTCTGTCTGTCTGTCTATCACATGTCTTTTACTAGTTCCTTACTTCACGATACCTGCATATACTTATTTCAATAAAGTTAGTCACCAAAAACCTAGAAAGCAGTGATCGCTGAGAATCATGGGAAATATATCATATCCAACAAGTAAAGGTTTTGACACAAACTGCAGCAGTTGAGGATGCTCAGAGGAGGTGAGACTGAAACTGGTAGAAGATCTCAAGCCCATCAACAGTTATCAAGCAGTTGAAACATGTTAAATGTATCAACCCATAATCCTTGCCGGTCTCAGCTTTGTAGCTTTTGGCAGGTGACTAACTATATTGAAATAAGTGTATAACGACAGTGGGATCTGATAAGAAAACCGATTAAAGGCATTGTGGTTCATCAGTTTTGAACAAATCTAGGCTATTTGCTGGGGTATTGGCTAATCTTATTACATCTGATTGAAGAACGATTAATCAACCGATTCTTTAACAAAAGTCCGCATTAAGGCCAATAGATAACGGCAAAGTAAATTATTTAGGAAGAAGTGTTATTTCTTTATGTCACTAGGATCCTGAGCACAAATATGCAAACGGTTCATAAGTGATTACTCCTTACTTAATATGATTACGTATCTTACTAATGGAACATTCCCATGCAATTCTCTTTTACAATTCTTTCTTTAAAAAAAAAWTTTTTAGTATCAAATCTACTGTATTTATGATTTAAAAGCATAAAACCTAACCATTTATGAGGAGTTGATGACCAGACTGAAATGAAAGTCCACGAACAGAGCTATATTCTGCCATGATTTCCCATTCGTTCTTCAGTTTCACAGCATGTCTCAAATTGTACACTCAATTATATGAATAAAGGTGAAAAGCACATATTCAAATCACAGAGTGGTTTAAACATAAGAAGCGAATTTAAAAAGAGGTACAAAGAATGCACACACGTAGTAAGGAGTAAGCCTAGGATGAATATTATCTACAGACAGTATCATATCGCGTATGCATATTAACATTAATCACGCCTCATCACCGTGACTTACTGTATGTATTTTACTTTTGCCCAAACGAAATTCTTATGGAATGTGCCTTAAAAATAATACAATTATGCCAAAATATTTCCATTTTTTTCAAGGACAAGCAAATGAATTCAATACCAATGTAAGAATACTACTAATGAGGTTCGTATATTTACAAAGGGATTGTCATTCGTTGACGAATATTTTAAAGCACAATTCAGATGAAATTCAGATGAATCTCGGCAGTACGTAGAGTATAATAGTTCTCACCTCAGCTCAGCACTTACATCAGTTGCATTCAAAATCACTTGGAAGTTTAAATGGTGACACTAAATTTTTGCTAGTCCAAAGTGACTTACCGCCCGACGTAATATTCGATGCGTATTGTTATAACGCCAAAATAATCATTAGTTCTCCTGTGTTATTAATCATTTAGTAAACATAGGAATATGCGCGAAACTATGAATCTTGCATGGGCAAGCCACGAAGGGACACCAATGCTATTAGGACTGGCTGCACAATTAACCATTCATATTAAATATTTATAAATAAAGCAGCCACTCTTTTCAACTTCCATCTTAAATTGCAAGGCGACACCCAAGGAATGATATTTCCTTAAGTCTAAAGCTTATTCCAAACCTTCAGATTTTATCAAAGTCATTACAATAAAACACCTTACAACATCTTTACTTTTATTGTTGCTATTTTTTAAGGCTTGAGAAAATAAATCATTTTACTTATACTTTACCGGTACCAAGACCGGAACGTACGACTAAACAGCCGCTGGGTGATTAGGAAAATAAACGAATTCTTGAGCAAATGCAATTTGCGTTTAGGATATTTTTGTCTTTTGCATGGCAGCTGCAACATGTCGTAGAATGAGACCACTGGCGAGGATTGTAAGATGGCACACCTTAATTATCAGTTTTATCTGGCAATGATCTATTCCAAACATTTTTAATCATAACTAACATATTGTAAGTAAAAGTTTGTCCCACTCAAAGGAGACTTCCAGGCTTTAAATGTCGATTATTCTAGCATAACAAGGGTCGGTGACATTAATATACATGCTAAAAGAACGTCTGTTTGGTTATGGCTTTACATGGCCACTTCACGAAAACCTGTTTCCTTTCTTTTCTTAACTATTTCAGTTTTACAGGCAAAATAATCCGGTTGAGGTAAATGAAAACGACGAATTCATTTGAATAAAGGATGTACAAGTCTTTTTGTGTTCATTAACGATGTCCATGATCTTAGCTCTGATAAAACAAATACAGATAAATAAATATTTGACTCATTTATTTTTCAAATATAATACAAGTGTGTTTTAATTAAAAATGAACACTAGTAAAGAAGTCATATTCGTTACGACTGTGATGTTCGTTAAGAATGTTTTAGACTTTATTTCTCTAATATTTGACTGGCTTACTGCCTTCAAATCATTACTGATAGAAATGACTAAATGATTTTTGTTCAATACTAAGCCATGAATATTTAAAATTAATTTTCAGTTTCACTTCGTACGATAAGGCAAAATATTTTTACCTCTAACGAAAAGCTATTTTTGTTCAGCACGAAAATATTTTGTTTTTACTAAAATATTTCAATTTGAAATTAAAGTCATTAGCACTTTTGAGTCTGCACCAAGACATTACGATACGTGAATAATTAAGATCTGAATCCTCTACCTTACTGCAGCCTATACATCTTTATTTATATATGATATTTTGCCAAGTTCAATTCCTTTTAAATTTTGACTGTTTTGTATCAAAAATAAAATGAACATATCTTCGCATTTCATCAAGTATTAACAATTTTTTAGTGATTAGTTTTTTAACCATTTTATCTTATTGTTCAATTGAAGTGCATTAGTTTTTCACTAGTTGTTATTTATCAGAATTTTGGCCAGTGCTCAGGACAACTCCGTGGACCAGATGGCTTGGTTACTCGGTTTCCATAACCTATTGTCATAAAAACAAAGGTTTAAAAATAGACAACATCATTTGTAACTGAAAATTATGGCGGATTTCCAATAAAATGCGAATCGTAAATGTTACATACAAAAGAATACACCTACTTCTACCCACACACCTACACAAATACACAATGCATACATAATATACATCTGATATATGAATACCTAATTGACAAGTCGCATATGAAGCGCCTCTTTCTCCTGCAACATAAAAAGAGTTACGCATATTATGAATATTTATTTCCTGCTTTTGACAAAGAGTTTCCTGTTGCTTTTCCTGTCGTTTCCTAAGGGGGTTATACTGGTACCATAATTTCCCATTTTCTATTTTGAACGTGTTTTTGGATAATATCGAGTGGCCTGACAAATATGATTTACAAAATCTTCAAAAACCCCAGGGGAAAACGGGCATTAAGATGTATATGTAATTAATATTGATCTTAATTGATCACTGTTATTATTGAAAAAAGCTTGCCAAGAGATTAAGAGAGAGTAAGTTGCCAAGAGAAGTGATTATTTCAAATTAAGAGTGACATCCTGAATATAAGTTATAACGTTCTAGATAGAAGAACAGCCACAAGGAAAAAGCAAACTTTACCCAAATCTGGAGAAGCAGAGCGAGGAGTATTCAAGGGAGACGCATTCCTTTTGCCGATAGAAATCTGAAAAAGAAAAAGAGGAAGAAGAACTTGTTATAATGGACACCTATGTGTACTCTAGACGTAGGAAAGTAGGAAACACAGGGCTCAGAGGGCGGAGTAGACATAGGCTCGATTTCTAACAGAATTTTAGTACGCCTCCAGAATGCGACCCACTTTGTAAGTGGGGAAGCATGGTGGGGGGGGGGGGGGGGGGGGGGGGGGGGGGGGGCTTGGGAACAAGTTCATGAATGAAGCTGAGCCTAGGGGAGACAAATCCCCTCTTAAAAAAGTTCGTTTAAAAATACTAAGAATCCTACACTTTTGTGAAAGTTCATAAATAGGTCTAATTTCTATTTATTTAAATACAAGTTACTATTTTACACCCTGTATCTCAGTACCAGATTTCAGCAATTCATGAGGGTTTCCTGTGGTTATGGCGGGAAACTCTAAACATGAAACGCGTGCGCGTGTATATTGGCAGGAAAACGGTACATTGTCCCTAATGCCACGTACAACAACCAACCTTTGGGACTTGTGATCCAGAATTTAATATATTCCTGGCTTTATTTTTGAAACGATCCATTGTACTCGACTTCACTGAAGATCTTTGAACTGCCTCGTACGCATCATCTTCGTCACCTGTTGAGAAAAGATATCATTACTCGTGTACAATGTTGAAAAAGACAAATTTATCTCTTATGTTTTCAAATGCGTCCTTAGTTCCGTGAACAATATCAATGTTTTCATGATGTTCATGGTGCTGTTAATGAGGATAATGGTTTACATACCGGGCGACATGAACGCATCCATCGTTTTCACTGGCACTGGAGGAATGTCTTCTGAGGAATCATTACTGGATGTCGAGGTTAAACTCTAATAAAAATCATAAACAATTATTTTAACGATAAACAATTATTCAACTGCCCCTAAACGTACCCTTAGACTACTCGTAGAGTTTTGTGAACGTGTCAGATTTCTTTCTTGAGAGTGAAGATCACCGTTGGAAGTCCACGTGTCAGTTGACAAAGGTGTTCTTTTCTTGGTTCGTGCACAAACTGTTGCATAAAGTCCCTCTACATTACCTGAAGAGAGAGGTTAAAGACAAATTTCAACATTAGCCAGGCAAATAAAAATGATCAACATAGCGTTAACATCCTTACTTGTAGAATTGCTGCCACTTGTCAACACTCCACTGTTACTCCGCCTAAGCGCCGCAGGCGGCTTGGTCGTCACGGGTTTATTATCAGCGATGGTGTACAAGGAAGACATGGAAGAGCCAGATTTCTTTGAAAGATAAGGAGAACTGACCAACGCGTAGTCAGATGAATCAGAATTTACACTCGATTGTTCGTTGCTAATTCGAGTGTTAACATTTTCTGTGCTATTTGCCTTTTGAATAGGTCCCGAGCTGTCTGAAGTACATTTATCGTGATACCTTTGATGCGTGGATTCTGAGTAAGGTTTTACAAGAGCAGGCCGCGCTAATGGTTGGGGTTTTAAGATGTTTTCCTGTTCTTTGGCAACTGCTTTCTCCTCAACTACGCTATAAGTTCCAAAGAATCCATCTTGAGTGTTCTTTTTGCTAGTAACATTTGATCCTTCGCTCAGACGTCGAGGATTGACTGTTGGTTTCTCTGGTTTTCCAAGCAATCCATCCGACACTACTGCTTCTACTCCCGTAGAATGGCGTGCTTTGACCTGCGGTTCTTTGGACACTTCACAAAAGGGATTATTGATAACTTTATCCGCCGATCCTGGGCTATCTAAAGCCTCAATTAAGCTGTGTTGTCCACTTGGTCTGTTAGTTTTAGTTGGTTTAATAGTACTACTCGCATGCAGGTCAGGTGACAACTCGTTTGGGATGGGTGCTTTATCGAAGGAGTTTTGCTTTACAAGCTTTGATTTGTATGCTGGATAGCCTTTTGAAGACTGCAATCCAGGTTCCTCCAAGTCGATCAATTGTCCTGATTATAAATCCATATTAATAAATTAATAAACAAACTACCGAATAATAGTTCAATAATATAAACAACAATAACTAAGGTTGTCTTTAATCACCTTCCTTCACTTGTGGACGAGGCGCCGTAGCATCAGGTTTCGTAAAAATAGGAGATATGACGTAGTCTGGTTCTGTAGTGGCTTTTCTTGGAATTTCTTGACTCGAAGGTGGAATTTCGTAATCTGCGCCATTTTTAGATGTTTGCTTTTTAGCTATATCAGGTTTCATAGAAAAGGGCACAGTTTGTGCTTGATTGCCATCTAATATAGTCGAGTTTGCTCCGGCTGGTTTGGATGCAGGTTTATTCTTCGCGTTTGGAACTGGGATATTAACATAATCGTCATCTTTTTCACTGGACGACCCAATAACCACGTTAACGTAATTCTGGGCAGGTCTGGGAGCTAGAGGGGGCTTCGATGAAACTGACAGAGGTAAAACATTTTCATAACTTGAAGTTGTTTTTTGGTTTGGAAGCGGTTTACTTGATTGAGTAGACGACTGAACCAAGTTTTCTTTGCTTGGTCTTTTAGATAACTGTTGTGTTTTTTCTTTCCCTTCACTGGTCTCGTTATTGTCCTTTTTTGATACCAACAAGTTTGACTTGTCGGAAAGAACCACGTCCTTTTTAGGTGCTGGAATAACAGCCATATTTGCCGAGGGTGGCGGTTCTCTGACTGGTTTTCTTGAAGCATTTTTTTCTTCCTGATGCAACCTTTGTATGCTGCGAATAAAATCTACGTTCTCGTAGGTATTATCTTCTTTGGCTTCTTTGCCGATTTCCACATTTACATAGTACGACGTGGGACCGCTGACCCTTTGTTTCTTCAATTCGTCGTTAACAAGTTCTTTCACCGCTTTATACACTAGTTCGTATTGCTCCTGACAGTGAATACACATATGAATGAATTTTAAACAACTGAAGATATATAATGACCGTTTGAAATCAAATCAACAAAAAACAAGCCAATGATGTTACCTTGGTCTGAACCATTGCAATTCTCTGTTTCCGAAGACTTGATACAATGTTGAACACACTAAAATTATCTGTCCTCTGCAAAATCAACATAGTCTCAGTGAGTGTGAGATGCTATGCATCGATATCATCTTTATATATATTAATGTAATACTGTAACCGCTTACCCCCAACTGTATGAGTGCCCTTGCATAATCCAGAGCACAAATTGTGCCTGTTCTTCCACAACCAGCACTACAACAACAAAGTGAACATTACCAAGAGATCATATTTTGCAGATGATGTGCTAGTAATATTCTATATGGTATGTAAATACCTGCAGTGGACAAGTACTGGAACTTTATTATCACTGCCAACAAAAGCTCTAAATGACATAGTAAGTTCAATGAGTGGTGTGGCAGAACGTGGAACATCGTGGTCTGGCCAAGCCGTGTAATGGAACTGGGTGACTTTTAAGTCTTCCTGGAATATATCAGAAAAACCTACTGTAAGTGAACACAACGAACAATGTGCACAATAACTTGTGTAGGCAGGCTACCTTTGATGACTTGGCAGACAATGTTCGTATTACAAATCCATCTCCCATTTCTTCTTGTGAAATCTGTTACATGGGAAAAAATAAACGATGAGCTTCTAGTCTCAATAAGCAATCATACACCTCTTGTTGTTGTTGTTGTTGTTGTTGTTGTTGTTGCAAGACACCAGTCATGACAAGCAAGTATACAG